AGCAGTTACTGGATCTAAGATTTAGTGACATTATGGAATACAAGATGACATACACAAACAATTCCCACGGGCTGGGTCTATCCTGCTGGACTCTGGATTGGCACTAGGTGCTGCCCACAGGGGTAACAGGAGCTGGTGGCCACTCTCACCAGGCACACAAGTCATCTGGTTCAGGCAAGCTACTTTACAGCAAACCCGTTTTCTCACTCAAGGAGGGAGACCAGGATGTGTGTTTCCCAATTTTCCCTACTTTTGTTTTGTTTTCATGAGACTCTAGTATTGTATAGGAAAGTCAAAGTGAGAAATAAAATATGATTGTTTTCATATAAATTTAAGGGAACATAAAGCCAAAGGGTATTTGTGAAAAATGATTACAAACACAGCCATTGTTAGGTAGGTAACATGAAAGTTTTTAAGCTGAAAGTGTTTTGAAAAGTTTTTGAGAATGTACTTGAGACTGACTTTTAATTTTTTTTTTTTTTTTGCTAGATTGCATTTTATCTGTGCCCTGTGTGTTTGTATGTGTGAGAGCTCTGTGGGGATCAGGGTGAGTTCCAGGAACTCACCACAGGTGGTAAGGCCTGGCTTCAGGTGCTTTGCCAGCTAGCTGGAGATGGGAGACTTAGAAACCGTTTACTTTCATTTCACTGTTTTGTAGGTCTGAGGAGGTTACTCAAGAGTTATTTCACCCATAGGCAAGCCCTCTACCATGGACCTCACTGCAGCCTCAGAAACTTTAATACATGCTACTGGGGACACGTCAAAGCAAAGGATAAAGAACTTTACTCGAGCCGCCTATTGTGACCATGCGTTTAGACATCCTCTTAGGTGCTTTATTTAAAAACAGAAACACAGCCCATAAAACGCACGCGCTGAGCATGAGAGCGCCAAAGAAACCGTGGACGCAAAGGCACTAAGCCAGCCAGCCTCACGGACAGGTAACCTGGCTCCTTCGGAGCATGTGAGGCATAGGACAGCCACTGCCCCACGCCTTTCCTCTGCGCCTCCGAGGCTGCCAACCTCTGGTGCCGTCCCCTCATTTCACTTTCTGTGTCTGCATGCCCGCATCTGCCCCTCACAGCCAAAGGTGGGGAAGATTGTATCTGAGATGAGGTGAGGTGTGTAGGTGTGCCAGAAACTCTTGCAGCCCCAGGGTGGAGAGATGAAAAACTTGCCCTGGCTTCTCCCCTTCAGTAAACACATCTACCTGGCAACCTGGCCTACGAGAATAGCTCCTCTCTTCCAGAGAGGAAGAGAAAGGCGGGTGAAGGGTACAAGCAAAACCACGGAGGGTCTGAGGAAACCACACTCGCGCATCCGGGGACCATGTGGCAAAGCCAGCCCTCCTTTCCCATGGGGAGAGAGGGGCCAGTGCGTGGGTCGAACAGTGGCTAAGCAGATAAATCACGCTACAGGCCTATCTGTCTGAACTTACTCACAGTTCATATGTGTGTGTGGGGAGTTTAGTTAATAAACACCTCTTGAGTTCAGTGACTTCATCTTATTTTTCTGTTTAGGTATCCTCTGGTGACAGGTGGGAGGTTATCTTTGGAAGGGAGATCTCACTAAGTTAAACTTGCAGGAGGCTGGCTCAAGAAGCTGAGCCCAAATCCCAGCACTCGGGAGGCAGAGGCAGGCGGATCTCTGTGAGTTCGAGACCAGCCTGGTCTACAGAGCGAGTTCCAGGACAGCCTCCAAAGCCACAGAGAAACCCTGTCTCGAAAAACCAAAAAAAAAAAAAAAAAAAAAAAAAAAAAGAAGCTGAGCCCAGTTGTCTTAGTGGCCACACTGAGTAAAATACCCAGAACCTAGCATTTCTCTCCGGGAGTGTAGGCCGTGAAACGCATGGGCGTTTTTGTATCACAGCTGGCCTTGCCTGTCAGTTAAAGCGTGTATGTACAGAAACCCAGCGCACACAGGTCTTTTGAGACGCCTGACCAACCAAGCGAGGTTCAGTATCAGTAACGTATGGCGCTGGGTTACCCAACACTGGTCTAGGTATACCCAGAAATTCTCGGTAAGAGAACGAAGCACACCTCCAGGGGGCTTGATGGACTCATAGTAGGATAGCATCTGGGGAAGGAGTGAGAAGCAGGTGTCACCTAACTGGAGAGAGGAGGTCACCTCCCCAAAGTTTACACCTCGTCTCTAGTCTCCCCTCCAGCATTTTCTTTTCTTTGCCTTTTCTGGCCAACGTGAGGTAAGTACCCCCTTTCCCAGGCTCCCACCATCCTGGTGTCCTGTCTTGCCTGTCTTGCCTGAGGCTCAAAGCAATGAATCCTGTCAATCTAGGACTGAAACCCAAATAAACTTTCCCTCCTTTCCCTCCCCAGGTGTTTGTCTCAAGAGATAAAAAGGTGAGGTGGTTGATTAACATGGGGCAGGGCTCACATGAAGAAAACCAAAAAAATCAAAGAAAAAAAAACAACAATAAAATAGAATCAGAAAAGATTCAGATTTTACTTAGAATGGATTTTGTAAGAACAGTATGCCTCACTGTTTTAAGTTTTGGTTTTTTGAGGTTTCTCCGTGTAACAGCCCTAACTGTTCTCAAACTCACAGAGATCAACCTGCCTCGGCCTGCTGAGTGTTTTTATTTTTATTGCCACCTTTTTTTAAATGCTTGAAGTCCTTAAAGGTAAGACTGTGCGGCAATGTTAGGCCTTTGCCGATTTCAGCAACACATATCATGTAGGTCTCAAGACAGGACATCAAAAACAGCCTTTCTGAGACCTGGGCATCCGGGAGAACACAAACAAAAAATAAAGGAGTAGTAACTACTGGGGATGCAGGGCCAGAGTAACTTGCTGAGTGGCATGGCCACCAGATGAAGTAAAACACTAATGTGCAATTGGGAAACCACAAACTCCTGCTGTCCTCTTGAATTCCTGTCAGAGAACCACACTTCTTTCTCCATTTTGAAAGAACAAAATTTTTGGCTCTTGCCAGATGGAAAAAACAGACTTGTGTTTTTTTTTTTTTAATTTTCTAATCTTAAGTGAACTGTAAATTGTTCCATATATATATGTATAATTACATACAGAATATATTACTTTATAGACATATATATATATACACATGCATATACTAGTAATACTTTAATTTGACCAAGAGTCTTCCAAATCCTCAACTATCTGAACAATGGGTAACTTTCCCATTACCAATGTAATGCCTCATCAGATTTCCATGGAGAATCTTCAGTTATCTGGTAACTATTCCCACATTTGAGGTGTCTAATGACTGTTGTAATCCTGGATTTTTGGCAATGGTCTACCTTATAACCTCATAATCATTTATCTCAGTAAATAACATATGTAATATAATATATATAAAATGTGTGTGCCTGCGTGTGCCTTGAGTTCATGGGCATCACGTGCATGCAAATACACCCAAGTGCCTTGAGAATCCAGAAGAGGGCATTGGATCAAGGAACTGGAGTCACAGAGGGTTAGGAGCTGCCAAGTTGGAGCTGGGAACCAAACCCAGCTCCTCCACACGAGCATCAGGTGCTCGTAACTGCTGGGCCATCTCACCAGCCCCATAATTATGTATCTTTATAACCTAACTTTTACCAAATACATATCCCTGAGATCCACATAAGAAAAGGTATTTATAAACATGTTAAGAGCCAGAGAAAGAAAAGTGTATTTCAAGATGTAGACTTTGCCAAGGCAAAAGGCAAGCCTGAGTAAGGTTTTACTGGGTGGGAGTATAAATATTTTGGAGATCTCCTCAAATGTCTGCTTCAGTGTAACAGTCTTCTTTGTTCAAGAGCAATGGCTTCTATTTTTAGATTTGTGACACTCCTGGGTGTCTCCAGATATCTCCTGAGGTGTTGTAAAGTTCCCTTCACAAAATGCCAAGTAAAATAATTTAAACTCACTTAAAAATATGCCCCACATTGGAGGCAAGGGAGGGAATCAAATGAACAGTCACAAGATTTCAAAAACTCGATCCTTGTCAATTATATTTAGTCTGTGACAACTACTAAGGAACAGATTAATAAATACAGGAAATTAAAGCAAGATGAGACAGCCTATCTGTGGGGTTTGCGCCTGGGGAAGACAGGAAAAGGGGTGGTTTAGTTGGGACACTAGGAGAAACTCTGGCACTCACTGGACACTCTCCTACCTTGTAACCCATTGTACACCAGTGCTTTGCAGTTGGCGTCAAAGGTCTCTATATATGAATCAGTTTCTTCAAAATACACAAACTTAAGAGTTCAGACACTGGAGCGGGGTAAGAGTAACTTAATTTTGCCAACTTATCCTCTTAGCTTCTGGCTTCAACTGTTAACAGGCAGGTGTGAGATTACACAGAGGTCATACAGCACTGTTCTGCAAACAGCCAATCCTGAACTTCCTTGTTACCAAAGGTTACTAACTAAAGCACCATTGTGGGTTTGCCACTGGGAAGCCTGGCTTACAGCCATTACCATTTACCATAGTTTCTAAACCTCCAGTAAAGTTATGTTTCCTGATGGGTCACCGCCCGAGGCTTCACGGCTTTCTTTATTCAGAACACCCACTCCACTCATCTGATAAATCTGACCGTGGGTTTTCTCGAGGAGACACACACACACACACACTCACTCACAAGACAGTACCAGAGAGGGCACATGCTTCTCTCATTAAATAGGCCTGCCTTTTCTCCCTGGAGAACCCGATTTCACTGTTGACGATTTTTTTTTCTTCATATCATTGCCTATTTAAGTTTAGACCCACATTTTGCATGCCAGAAAAAAAACCCTCCTTATTAAACAATCTCAAACTTTTACCAACCCTGCTGAATCCCTTTGCATGCCAGAAAAACAAAACAAAAACTCCTTATTCAACAACCTCAAACTTTAACCAGCCCTGTTAATCCTGTTAATAACCTTCCAAGAAGATACACAAATGGTCCCTCTAAGCAAGGCCTTTATAAAACACCCCGTTAAGCTGTCTCAAGGACCAAGCACCTGAAAGTCGTGAGCAGAACGAGTGACAAAGAAGTGTACTTGCCTTGTTAGTAGCAGTTGCACTGGATCCAGGGACCACAGGCACATTTGTCACTTGAACCGAAAGATAATTATTGTCTATGAGTGGCCAGGCCCCTTCCACTTTGCACGTCTGGAAGTGATCCCTGAAAGTTCTAAGGTGAGGGTCTCCAAACAAGCCGCAGAAAAGGTAATTGGGAGGGCTCTGGTCCCCTCCTCCCCTGTGTTCTCTGACTCCTCCGTGGCTGTGGTAGTTACAAGGGTCATGGGTCACTTCCGGGTTGGTGGAGGATGTGGGTCCATCCTTGGAACAGTTCCTCTGGCTCATGAGGTCGCTGATACCTAACACGGCAGAATGGTACACCAGGTTGCCACGGCAGGCTTTTGAAGTTCGCTGGGTGCAGCCGGCATAGGCACGGAGTGCCTTGCAGAAGTCAGAGTCGAAGCCATCGGTGGCAGAGTTCAGGTGTGAAGTGAGGGACACGAAATCTGTGGTACATTTCTGGATTCGGCATTGAGCTGGCTGTTGGCAGTCACCTATGGGAAAGAAGACAGGACCAAGCATGTAAATGCTTCATCACTTCTGGGCATCATGAGAAGATGCTATTCTTCCCTGCCTAACGTATCTCGCACTCTTATTTAAGGTTGTACTGAGTTACCACGTCTCTCAAATTAAGCCACTGGATAGTTACCCAAAAACTTTGAAGCTTTGGTGACCAAACATGAAATCTAGCCTAGGAAATGTCTCCAGGTTAAAACTGCAAATGAAATATTATTTCCTGTTTGCTATTTACAGATTGTTGACAAAGACTCCTCTGCTCCAAAGCAAAGCCAAAGACATGGACTGTTTTTGATTTTTAAAGCTGTGAGAGTAATTTGCTTTGGAAAGCACTGGGAGAGATGCACTATGTACACAGCTATGATTAAAGCTTGTACACCCAAAGAGTTTAAATTCTAAATTATAGTATGTTTAAAGTATCTCTACCTGATTTTTGTATGGCTACAGGATATGAAAACCATGGGCAAGAAAATCCAAGTAGTAAGTCATTCTATCTTTCCTGATGTACCTTACTAACGAACTACATCCACAGTCACAATGTCCTAGCTTCTATAAAACACAGGTACTCTCCTAAAAAACAGTGATTCACTTGACCAAGATCCAATTTTACTTCTTTTAACGCGTCTGACACACAGATCTCAAGCAGACCACAAGTTCTCGAGAACACACACACACAAAACCCAAGAAAGGATGCAACATCAAAATTGTATCAGGAATCAAGAGAACTGTAAAGCCAAGAATTCCTACCGTGTGTGTGTGAGAACATATACACCTCATTTTCCCTCTTCACTAACAACTAGTTAACAGTTTGAAGAAAAAGTTAGAATGAAAACCCGAGGATGGATGTCTTGTATTAAAGTTCCAAATTATCTTTTTCTGTCACTTGTCTCTCATACAATTCATGAAACTTCTCAAAGCACAAGAGAAAAGGACAAAACAACAAACAAACAAACAAACAAACAAAAACACTAGGTCAGCCATGCGTACCAATCAATTTTATATTGTTTAAAAAAGTGAGGATGGGTTTACTAAAAGAAGCTCATGCAGGTCAAGTTGTATAAAATGAGCCCTGGCACGTATTGACTACTTGGTATTCTTATAGGTGTATAACCCATGGGAGAAGTCTTACTGATTCTCCCCATTTTTCTTCTGGAAAAAAAATGAAGTTGTTGTATAGCTTTGTGGTCTTTTCCAGGCATAAAATATCTCACATTTTGTAATCTGGGGGTGTGGGGGGATCGACATCACTGGGTCATTCAATGCTTATGGCTAGTATTTGTGTGCGTGTATTATGTGTATGAGTGCTCTGCTTTCGTGCATGTCTGTGCACATGTACACCGAGGGCCCTCAGAGGTCAGATGATGGTGCTGGGAATCAAGCTGGGGTCCTCTGGAAGAGCAACCAGTGCTCTTAACTGATTAGCCATCTCTCCAGCCATTACTCCCCTGGCCCCCCAGGACAAGGCAGGTTCACTGAATTGTAGCCCAGGCTGACCTTGAACTTGTAATTCTTCTACATAGCTTCAAGAATTTTGGATTGCAGGTGTATGCCACCATGCCTAATTAAAATCAGCGGGTTATTTTTAAATACGTAATTATTTCAATACGTGGATACAGTAAACCAGGCTATCCATACCTAAAACTTCATCTGATAAAAGACTTCATGTAGTAATCCCTGTATTGATTTGGAAAGGTGATATGGGAATGGATATTTTAAATCTTTAATGAAATGCTAGACTGGTTTTGGCTGTAGCTGGGGAGAAGGGTGGGAGATAACAATCTATAATCATTGTGAAATTCCAAAGACCCGGAGAAGGATCGGCTGAGCCTTCATTTTCATTTTTACCAGAATAAAGGAGATTAAAATTTTACTATTTTGGAGCTACTGAACTTACAGCAATCACCAGACCAGTTTCAGAAAAAAAAAATCAAAGAAATTATCTTTATGTGTTTGGTCCATTTAAATTTTGTTCAGTGCGACACTGACCAGAGAAATTCAATTTATTACAGGACTCCTTTCTCCCAAACAGATTTATTTACTTCCAACCACATCTACTGAACAAGACAAAACAAAAACAACCGAACAAATTCACCCTCCCAGAATCCTTCAAGCCATTTATCAAGGGGAAAGCGTACTCCTGGTGGGATTGTACACAACTGACTAGTGTTAAGGTCACTCTCCTTAAATTCCCGACTAACAGAGTAGTCGCTGATGCCTGCAAACAAACAAACAAAAACAAACAAGGGGGTGACAATTATATCACTGTTCTTTTAGAATCCGTTACACAGCAAGTTACAAAGCAGGAATTAAAAGCAAGGCCAAGACCACTCACTAACCAAAGAGCTCTTGGACTACAAATAACAACAAGCACTAGAACTTTCCGCTAAACTTGTGGGGCCCATTTGTTCTTTTTTTATGGTCTATAAAATTTATCCGAGCATACAGTTACTTATAATTATTTCAAATAGTCATAAAATATCAAAAGTAAGAAAAGCATGGAGAGACAGAATGCAAGTGTTTAGGTAGGAGAAGATACAGCACTTATTCCCAGTGGGCTCTTTCAATCCCCCTGCCCCCCATTCTTAAGGGCTCCCCTTTTTTATGGTAGGTAGGTGCTGATTGCTCTGAGAAGTACCATACAAAGCAACTCTTCTGCTTTGGATAAGGACCCTAACAACCCTTGGCTGTAGATATGATTGGGGTGGGGGGGCACCGAAGGGAAAACACTTTGAGGTTAGCATTTTTCAGCTCCATTACAGGCTCCTGTATCGTGACTAATTTGCAGCACACACCCAGAAATATCCAGGCTTCATGAATTTATAATGACAATGCACACTTTGCCTGTTGGAGGCGGTAAAGTAAGCCTCCTGTCAAAATGCCAAGACAATGCCGAACAGAAGCAAAACACGCTCCAGGATGTGGCCAGGGAGGCCATGAAGTGTATGAGTAAGCAAGAAACCCCCATATTTGATATCCACCCACGAACTGCAAAGGTCTTCAAAATAAGACAAAATAAAACACACTCGAGAACTAACAAATGCCATTTACCAAGGGCAGAGTTCAAAAGATGCACTCACAAAGAAAAAGTTCCTATTTGAGGGAGTCAGATCATTTACTATTGGTGTGATGTGTATTTTCAGGCCAGTTACTGTAAGGGCCGGAGGATTCCTGGTATGAAGCATTCATCACTTTTTTTTTTTTAATGATTTGGACATAAAAGTCTCACCATGCAAGGCAGCTTCCTTCGTGCCAGGGCCGTGAATCTGCAGTAGTTACCCACTTATAATAATGGAAATGAGATATAAGGCTGAATTGAGAGTGAACTGCAGAGCCATATGGGGCACCGGGGCAAACGATATGGACCCAGACATAAACCATATGGTAGTCCATCTGCAAGTAGCACTTGCTAGGTTCCCTGGCCTGGAAAAGACCCCTGCATTTCGACAGTACCAGTCTTCAAAGAGATCTCTCAAAAGGAACTCCAACAAGCCCTTTGGGTGCAAATCTAAGTGTGAGCATACATTGAGTTTCTGAAAGGAACCTCGTGTTCCCAATTCTTTAATGAAAGCACCTTAATTTTTGGAAGCCTTTAGTCCAGTTTCTTATGCCTTCCACAGAGCAGGAAGAAAATCTTTAGGAACTTACTCTCCAACCCCAGAGCAACCAATATCCAAGCTGCCAAAGAGCTCAACCTACCATTTCAACTTCCCTTTCATGAGATGCAGTTTGACACAATGGATACATATTTTTTCTCCCCAACACTCCTGAATACTGGCACACTAACAAAAAAGTTTCCATGACACCACATGCAGACATTTTTTCCCCCTAAGGTTCTAAAGCAACCAACTTAAAGCCTTAATTATCCCGCAACTGGCTATTACATTTTTAAGTACGACTAGTCCGTTTCCCCAAGCGACAGTGTTAAAATGCAGCCGTTGTACCACCTCGAAGAGTTGTCTCTTCAATGTCATTTTATTCCATTCCTTAAAAGACCTCCTGGCTATTTTTTGCACGGTTGGTATGCCCTAACAAGTAAAAAGTCCTCAGCACAGCTGAGTGACATTAAACTAGAATTCTCCAGATGTTTTGAGTGTCATCCTAAACACGGGGAAAGAAAAGGTCTCCAAGAAAATCTACGTAACGCTCTGTTTTTCAAGCAGAGGGACCATGATTCTTTTGATTTCTTTATTAGAGGGAGATTCATGGTCTAGGCAAAGTCTTTAAAAAAATGGTACTTAGTGGTATTGGTCAAGAAAGCAAAAACAGGTATCACATGTCACAAGGTTTAGGTTCAGGGTCTATTATCCGAAAGCACATTCATTCCTCAGTTTTGAGTCGGGCAGGGGCCCTACCGACCTCCACACGGCAGGCAGGCAGACAGGACACATCTGTCAAGCCCGCTAGGGACCGAAAACACGAGGCTAGCCTCAAAGCACGTCTTCAATCGGCCAAACTCTGTGCCCAAAGCAGCTTTTGGCAAAAAACCGAAAGAAATCCCGGATAACTTAAGTTCCTTAGGAATTTACCCCAAACTCTAGGGGGGATCCGAGTTTTTATTTATATATTTGTTTGTGCATGCATGCACCGGGTGCGATGCCGCCGCCCCCCCAACCCCCAGCCGTAGCAGCACAGGGCTCCAGTCTCGGCTCGCAGGCGGCGGAAACCCGCTCCGCCACGGGCTCGAGTCAAACAGCCCCGCGGAGGAGCGTTGGTCCCGCACGCGGCCCTCGCACGCTGGGATCCGCGGAGCGGCTGTGGCGGGGCGGACTGGACCCGGCGCGGCGCCAGGCAGAGCCGTGCTCGCCCGCCCAGAGCCGGTAGCATTCGGGACCCAGAACAAAGCCCGCGCGGCCCGCTCCCCACCCCGGGCCTGCGCCTACCTGCGTGGAGCAGCCCCAGGCTGAGCAGCAGCAGCAGCAGCAACGGCGGCGGGGGCGAGGGCGGCCAGAGCCCGGGGCGGCGGTCCTGCTCAGCCCCGGCGGCGGCGGGGGCGGGGGCGGCGGCGGCGGCGCAGGAAGGTGCTGCTGCTCTCACGCCCATGCCCGTCCATGCAGGTCTCGTGCGCTCCGGCGAGCAGGGCGAGGGCGGCGGCGGCGCGGGCGCAGCGGCTGGGCCGGGCCTCGGGCTGCGGCATGGGCCGGGGGGCGCGCCTCGCTTCCTCCTCTTCTTCCTTTCAGGCCCGCGTCCGAGGGCAGCAGCCGCCGCCACCACCGCCGCAGTGGCCGGGGCGTCGCGGGCGGAGGGAGGTGGCAGCAGGGCGCGGAGACATCGCGGCGGGCAGGAGAGGGGCGGGGAGGGAAAGAAAGATACAAAAGACCGTGAGCCAGAGAGCGGGCGCCGAGAGCAAGCAGTCCCGAGCGCACGGGCGGGTGAGAGGGCGGCCGGGCCACCCCCAACCCCCAGCCGGCGCGGGCTCGACGCGCGTGGAGCCGGCCGGGACCTCACACCAGCCGCGGCTCGCAGCTGGACGCGAGAGCTCCGCACCCGTGGCCTGCGCGGTCAATCAATCTCAGTCCCCCCACTCCCGCCCCGCCCCCGCCGGGTTCCCACCAATCCGAGGAGGCCCCGCCCCAGGCCCCGCCCTCAGCCTCCCCTTCCCATTGGCTGCAAGAGCGCCTTCCCCGCCCTAGTCTCCCTCAAGTTCCGCGTCCGCCGCCCGCGGGTGGGGCCGCTTCGCTAAGGGTTAGCCCAGCCTCCTGCTGGCTTCCTTGTGCTTATTTCCCCCCTCCACCCCTTTCCGCGATCGCCGCTTGCTGGTACCCAATAGAAAAGGGCGAAAGGCGACTTTTCGCTTGGCCCGCGTGCCAGGAGAACCGGCCTTTAACCTCTTCCTTGAATTAATGAGCTCAGGTTCAGCTTCCTCCTCCTAGCGTTTTTTTTTTTTGTTGTTTTTTTGTTAGCTGTGGGTTTTTATAATGGCCTCCTCCACCCCTCCTCCTTGCTTGCACGAAGCCAGCACTTTCCCTGAGCAGGTTCTCCCCCCCCTCCCCACCATCCACCATCCCTCCAAGTCAGCCAATCACATCTGCTGGACCTCTTAGCAAACTTGTCGGGGTCTCTGGGTAAAACCAGAGAGTCCAGCTGAGTCGCCTTATAGATACTCAAATGACACCCGAGGTCCGTGGCAGATGGATGGAATGAGAATGGTCCTTTGCGAGCTCCCGGCGGAATTCGCTGGCAGCTGCGTGAGGCGCTGGTGTGTTTGGGTTTCTTTTGACATCCCCCCCCCCCCCGCTTCAAAGCCGAGAGCGGGGAGTCAGGGACTGGGCGAACTTCAACGTGTTCAGTTACAAGGTAATTAGATTAATGAGAGTGGTGAGTTTTTAATGCAGTGCAATTATTGCCACGATTTCTTGTTGCTCGGTGCCCTTTCCACAAATATCCAGTCTATTAAATCAATCCAATGGGTAGGTCTGCTTCTGTTTGAGCTGTCCTCCAAAACCAAGGACAAAAACCCCACAAACAATCGCCAAGGGTTAGCAAAGCACTTGTGGAGTTGAGGATAGGCTCCTGTTTGTTATCAGTTAGGGTGACGTGGTATCTCCTCTGGAGAATGGCATCAGTGCTAGGAGTCACTTTTTACCTCTCCCCTTACTCCCCCCCCGCCTCTGCTGTTCCCCAAACTGTTGAGGATTGCCATTTAAAATGCACTTACTGCAATCCAAATTACAGTTTGCAACTCTACCTGCTACATTACTCAGAATCTCTAATTAGGAATCTCCTATCAACCACAGACACATTAATACTCCACATGTTACAATGTGCTAGTCAATGGCCCAGGATAATTGGGGGGCAAGCCTTAGGTCTCACCATCTCAACTCATTAGATACATTGTGAATTCTTCAAACCACTAGGTCCCTAATGAAGGAGACCTTTTTTTTTTTACTGTAGTTTTTCATTACTTATTACATGCTGTGATGACTCAAGTGGTAAACACACCTTTCGCTACCCAAGATACAATCCAAGCCTTATGTCTATCTTTAATGTGCTTAATAATAGCTTCAAAGTTGCCTGGAGAAATGACTTTTCATGGGGGGGAGGGAATGTATCTGATAATTTTACATAGTGGTGTATAACAAAATGCTATCAGAGTAAAAAAAATTACCATCTTGCAGTTACTAATGTAATCCATGAAATACAGTTCAGAAAATACTAATAAATATCTTTTAAAGAGTGGTCACGTGACACTCTTCTTATAAGTCCTTTTAGCTTGGGGCTGGAGAGATGGTTCAGCGGTTAAGAGCACTGGTAGCTCTTCCAGAGCACCTGCATAAGCTTCCCAGTGCCCACTGGTAGCTCACAACAGTCTGTAACTTCAGTTCCAAGGGATCCGAATTCCCTTCCCCTTCACAGGCATCAGACACACACATGGTGAACAGACATACATGCAGTCTAAACATTCTTACACATAAATGTTTTCAAGTGCTTTTACTTAGCTGACTGACATTGAAATGTAGAGTTTTCTTGCCTCAGTATTTAATTATATCCTACAAAGGTAATTTATGTTATTATCACACTTGGTATAAGGAAAAAGTTAAAGAACCGTACATTTGATTTGGTTTGGGTCTTTCTGCTGCTGACTTTCCTCTCTCTGCACTATCCTGTTTTTTTTTTTTTTTAAGTACACGGGGCTTTAGATATTCTTATCAGTAGAGGGCACCCTCGAGTTGCTGAGAATCCTGATGTCAAGAAAAAAAACTGTTCAGAGGGAAAAAAATCATCTCTAAGGTGTTTTATTGCTCCTCTGTTGTAAAATTTGACAAGCTTAAGACATGTATGCCTAACAATTCACTTTTTATTACTGCGTAAGTGTTCAGCTGCTAGAGGAAAATGCTATTTTTTAAAAAAAATAATTAAACCACAAGGTGGTTCCTATTTTTATGACATTAGGTCCCTTGATACACTGTGGGGGTGAATCTGGACTGTTAGCAAGATTTGAAATCAGCCTGGAAATCAAGGGCATGCTGAATGATCGTTTATAGGGTAGCCACTTTTCAAGCTCGTGCGCAGCAAGTTTAAGCAGAATTCGGGACTGTACAAAGAAAAACCCAGGGAGGAAGCTAGAACAAAATTGATGATTATGGAAGTTTTACATTTTAATTAGGAAAAAATGAGGTAATTGGCAAGGTGAGCAACCCAAAAATCTACCGTGCCTTGCCACTTGCATCCTGTCTCTTTGTTTTCGAGAGTACATCCAGAAGACCCAGCAAAGCATACCATGCCATGGGTGTGCAAATGGGTAAAATTAAAACGGATGCCAGAAACGTTAATAGATTCTAAACATGATACAGCTTCATTTCCTGAGCCCTCACATAGAGTCTTAACTGTTCCCCAGGTACTGTATCTCCATATCCAGAAACCTAACATGAGGATCTCTGCTTAACAGCTCACCCAGGACCGGAGAGGCCTGCAGTAAGAGATTTGTGCAACCCATTCTGGAGTAAGGGCTCCCCTGCCGCTCGTTGCTCCGCAGTGTGTTTTGAAAATCAGGGGCCGAATAGCCCAGAGTCCAGGAGCCCAGAGGCGAGTAGCTCCTGGCTGGTACTTACATCATTTTTAACCCTTCCGCACCTGGAAGGGGCTCAGCGGGATCAGGATGCCCCCGAGCTCCGGAACGCGCAGGACCTAGGTGTAAGAGAAGAGCCCCAGGGCTCTGTGTGAGCGCTCAGCCCCAGGAGAGAGAGACCGCGGAGAGCGTAGGGGGTTCATAACCCGCTCTTACAGCCGGGCCCCTTGATCCCTACAGACTCCAGTGCGGCTCGCCTCTGGCTCGCAAGGCTAGAAGCAGCAGGTGCAAAAAGCATTTGGGAGCCGCTTGCCAGTGCTTGGAGGTAATGCGCTTCCTGTCCATTTATCTCAGGAAACCAGCGCTGCCTTCCCTTCGAAACAAAATTAACCTCTCATTAGCCAGCCAGTCACTCCCAAGAAGGCCTTAAAAGCTTTACCCTCTCACTAATGTATTTAGGCCTTTCTTCCAGGCAAACGAAGCCGAGGCTGTGACTAACATCAGCCCCAGGGGTTCCTATGGGCTCCCTGAGGAGCCAGCTGCAAGCCTTTCGCCAGTCTAATCTGGGAAATTGGCCAACCCAGGAGCCCAGTTTGTAGAAGCAGGCCGATCCGACACCCCTGAACGAACCTCACACCAAAAAAAAAAAAAAAAAAAAAAAAAAACCCAAAACAAAAACAACCAAACAAAAACAATCCAGGACAACTTTTCCTCTCTTTCCTTCTTGGGATCCGTTTACATCAAACCCTCAGCTCCATTGCCCTCAAGGAATGGGGAAGGGAGTCTGGGGAAACTTCAGTGGCCAGCTGTCCCTGGGGTCATGGGCGACGACTGTCCCTTGGGAAGCGCTGGGGGGTGGGGGTGGCGGACAGCTTTCGTTAGACCCTAGTGGGTTCCAGGCATTGTGCATTAAACGTGTCCAGGAGCCCTTGGAACGCCCAGGGCTTTCTCACCCTGGCCCCACCGCCCTGAGCCTGGCAGATTTATACCACACAGGTGGACCGAGACCTAAACAAAACAGCCCCGGCCGCTGCCTGCCGCTCGCCCCCCACGTCCTCCCGGCCCACCGCAAACTTCAACAAAATAAACAACTCACCACAGGCATTCCCTTGTCTGCAGCGCGACGCTTGCCAGCTGGGAAAATAAGCCGCAAGCCACGCGGCCGGGGCGAAGGGAGGCCTCGCCGCGCCCGCCCGCCACTCTGCCCCAGGTGGGCGGCAGGCGGGCGGCTCCACCCCGGGGGCCGCTCTCCAGATGCCGGTTCCGGAGTGAGCTCTGGGGCAGCGGTTGCACACCCTGGCAGCCAGCGGGGCCTCTGCCACCTGGGGGGGGGGAGAGGGTGGGGAGACAAGTCCCTCTCCCCCAACTTCCTCGAAACTGCTCTCTTTCCACTCCCGGTCCCCGGCCACCGCCTCTGACAACAATCTCTGCAGAGCCGGTGCGCTCTGCACCGCGCAACCCGGCTGTCCTGCTGGAGACCCGACGGCTGGGAGTGCGGGACGCCTCTGCCCCGGATTCTAGGTCTCGGTCAGCTCTCTCCTCTCCCTGGGTCTTACACCCAGGCTGGCACAAAGGCGTCTTTCACGCCTCCAGCGCGCCGCCCTCTGCGCCGCCCTCCAAGCCCGCAGCGCTGCCTTTACCCACCCGCAACCTCACGGTCGGTCCCGGTGCAGGGGGTGGGGGGGGGACCCTTGCCAGTTGTCGCCCGGCCACCGGGACAGGGCAGCGGCAGACACGCGCGCGCGCGCCGCCACGAGGGCAGCAGACACTCTCCTCTCGATTTCCTCCTCCTCCTCCTCCTCCTCCTCCTCCTCCTCCTCCTCCTCCTCCTCCTCCTCCTCCTCCTCCTCCTCCTCCTCCTCCTCCTCCTCCTCCTCCTCCTCCTCCTCCTCCTCCTCGATTTCTGTTAGCTGTCCACCAGCGCCCTCCGAGGCACGTCCCCGCAACGGTGCCTCGAGGGTCTTCCTGCCTGTGCGCTGCTATGAAAGGGGGTTGACAAGGACGGCCCTCTGGACGTGTGCGAGCATCAGAGTGTTGTCGTTCCCGTCCACCCGGGGTGCCAGTGTGACTTGACCTCACGACGGGAGAAAGGGTAGAAAGAAACCCCCCTAAAACCCAGATTGAGAACGCGGTGTTGTAAAAAAAAAAAAAAAAGAACCGGCTCGGGAAACGTTTCTCGTCGGGGCGACAATCAGTCCCTTCCCTCCGGTGGAATGAGGTTCATGAGAGTGGTCCTTGAAGCTTCCCAGGTAACTCAGCGGCAGCTATTTTAGCTCGTTCCTTTTGGAGCAAGAGTGATGCTTTTTTTTTCCTTTTTAGTTAAAATTCCAATCAACCACGACCTTTCCCCTCCCCCAGCCCCATGGCCTTTTCCCCTCCACAACTCTTTACCTGTAGTTTCCCCCACCTAACAGTAGAGGCAGCACCGGGGCAGTGTAAAAAGGGCGGGACTTCAGCGAGTGTAGACACCTGAAGCTTGTGTTGTCTGTACAAGAAAAACGTGGAAGGCCGAGGACTCGACCCCTCCAGGTTCAGAAATACCAGGACAACAGACCCCCGTCCCCCCCTCATCGCATCCTTTGAGTGTGTTTTTGCTTTTCATCTTCCTTTATCTTCTCCAAATGCCAAACGAAACTGGAAAACAACATGCAAAACCCAGAGACCATTTCCGGCAGTGGTTCTCAACTTTCCTAAGGCTGCCCACCCTTTGATACAGCGCCTCATGTTGTGCAGACCCCGCCCCCAACCATAAAATTATTTCCGTTGCTACTTCATAACTGTAATTTTATTACTGTTATGAATCATAATGCAAATTATGTGTGTCTTCTGATCGATCGTCTTAGGTGACGTCTCCAAAACGGTCATTTGACCCAGAGGGGTCTTGGCCCACAGGTTGGCAATCACTGATTTATTATCCGTAAGATACACCGACTGAAACCTACTCTACTTACTACTGAGAATTTAAAACAAAAAAGGTGTTAGTGGGCGTGGTCTATAGAAACAAGGAATTTTAATGTTCCCGCTTGTTTTGTCTCTGAAAAACCGCTTGAGCAATCAGCATAGCAGGGCTCTCTGATTAAGAAACAAAAGGTTAGTTTCCCCAGTTTTTCCTTTCCCTTCTACCAATGCAAAGACAAGCTGTTGCATAAAGTAACTGTGAAAAAGACTTCAAAGGAAATCCAGGGGGCCAGTACGGAACACATCTTCCAGGGCAGCCCAGTCCTTCGGTCCTTTGCACAGCTAAACTACCTTTGGACTGCACATAAACACGGACACAAGCCATCACAACCTCCATCTCCACAAACACTGGTCAATGCAAACCGGGTGCCAATCGTTATGTGGACTATTCCAGCAGCATACATTTGTTCGAATCATGCATTTAGCTTTTCCTTAGCCCCGCGGTAGTTTTCAGTCCCACTTTGGAACCTTGAACTTTAGTTCCCTCTGTGGTCAACTGTGTCTTGTCTCCTGGTAGAATCTTTGAAATTAACGCCCCAAAGGCAGAACTACTTTGAGGCTACACTTCCCGTCTCCTGGTTTAACGACAAAACTTAAGACCTTGCCTATTTTCACTATCAATACTTAAATTTTTTATATTTATTTTTATTGAGCTATCCATTTTTCCTCCCTTCCCTTCCCTCCCCTCCTCTGTTCTCCCCTTCCATCCTTCCTCCTGCTCCACCATGCTCCCAATTTACTCAGGAGATCTTGGATATGGATCCATGCATATCTCTCTCTGTGTCTCTGTGTCTCTATCTCTGTCTCTGTCTCTGTCTCTGTCTCTGTCTCTCTCTCTCTCTCTCTCTCTGGTTTTTCGAGACAGGGTTTCTCTGTATTGTTTTCGAGGCTGTGGGTCCAGATCTGCCTGCCTCTGCCTCCCGAGTGCTGGGATTAAAGGCATGTGCCACCACCACCGGGCTACAGAGAATTTCTTTTAATTGTTCAAATCTCTGGGGAAGAGCCATAGATGTCTGATATATATATATACAGTGTTTAATGTTTAAATCAGGGTCGTTGACTTTCCATCTCTCCCCTAACAAGTATCTTTGGTTAACATGCATATTTGTACATGTGTACATGTTTATGGACTAAAGCATGTTATTTCAGTACAGGAATGCAATATGGACTGATGAAATTAGGGTAATTAATGTTGCCATCTCATTGTTACCTTGTGTTTAAGTACTCCTTTTGTTAGAAAACAAAAACTTCCTTGAATAGTTGCAATGAGAACTGCTATGAACTTTGAGAATTCTGTTGCTATTATGTAAAAAAATGTTCTTACAAATCACAATTACATCTATTTATCACGTCAACACAGTGCTTTGAAATAGGTATACATCACAGAATGCCTAAATTAATATATACCTCAGATGCTTAGGGGATTTTTTTTTTTGGAGGGAGTGAGAACATTCATCTGTTCTCAGGGACTTACCTCGAATGTTCCGTTAATAAAAGGATATGCCTTGTGTTTTTCTTCCCCCAAATTCTTTATCTTGCTTAAAGTTATACAATCCTTACACTCTCAACTCATTCTGACTCCTCCCACTCCCTTAAACCAACTCAAATAAATTGAAGATAGGAGTAGAAAGGAATTAGAATGATGAGGAGATAATACATTCACATCGATGTTTGCTTCCTAAACATAAGGACCTGGGTTGGATCCTCAGAATACACACACACACACACACACACACACACACACACACAGAGAGAGAGAGAGAGAGAGAGAGAGACAGACACAGAGAGAGAGAGAATGGGTCATTTTTTTTCTGTAAAATTCATTTATTGGTTCTCTAGTGATTGTTAAGAAACTTTTACTGAAACCACTTTAGGAATATCCATTTAAAGGTGACAGAAGTTGAAATTTTTGGAAATGTCCAGCTAATGAATCTAGTTCTCCAGTTACAAATGCCATAGCATATTTATTTATCTATTGCCATAGCTTATTTATTTTTGATTTTTTTTTACAATTTCCCTTTCATAAATGTGGGCCTCATTTTCTATTATCAAAAAACATACGAGGAGCTGGAGAGATGACTCAATAGTTAAAATTATTTCTTGCTCCTCCGGAGGACCCAGCTTCTGTTCCCAGCGCCCATGTCAGGTGACTCACAGCCTCCTGCGGATCTGATGCCCTTTTCTGGCTTTTGTGGATACTTGTAACCCTGTGGCATCCATATAAAAAAAAGAAACACACGGGCCCTTTTGTTTTTCTTGCTTTTCTTTTCATATATGTGTTGGATGTGTGTGTGTGTGCACTTGGACATGTGTGTACCTGTGTGTGGAGGCCGGAGGTTGTTCCTCAGATGTCCATCTGTTGGGGACTAGCCTCAGGTCATGAGGAATTTGGCCAGGCTATACTGGGCAATGGCCCCTTGACATGAAGAATTGCTTGGCTCCAGCCTGGTCCATCTGCTCCACCTGCAGAAACAATATGCCGTGGTATGGAGAACAACCCACCCTGCTCCTAGTTGAACCACACACACACACACAAGAAAAAATAACTGTAACTTCCTGGTAGCTACCTATGTATATAGATGTATCCCCCAGCCCCTGTACATGGACTCAGCCTTCATCCTGTGGAGCCCCTCACTGTTCCAATAAAGAAGTCTCAGTCAGTTGAAATCAAGTTTGTCTGCTTCTTCTCTGCTTCATTTTTCATCTACCCCCCCCCCCCCATTTTTTGAGACAGGAACTCACATTTGCTAAGGAACTTAACAATTAGGCTACATAATCTAGCTGGCCCGCCCGTGAGTTCTAGGTGTCTGTGTGTCTTCCTATGGAGCTCTGTGGTTACAAGTGTGCAACACCATGCTTAATCTTTTAAGTGTGTATTGTGAGGGTTTCATTCAGGTCCTCATACTTAACAGAGCAAGCACTTTACCTTCTAAGTAGTCTCTCTAGCTACCTTTCTTGGTTTTCTTTGCTTGCATGTTTTGTTGATTTTTTTTTTCCGAGACAGGGTTTCTCTGTGTAGCTTTGGAACCTATCCTGGAACTTGCTCTGTAGACCAGGCTAGCCTCGAACTCACAGAGATCCACATGCCTCTGCCTCCCAAGTGCTGGGATTAAAGGTGTGAGCCACCAACACCTGGCTGTTGAATATCTTTGAACCATTTTCAGATTGATGCATGATTCAGAAATTCAGCTGTTTACTCAAAATATTTGAGAATTGTTACTGCTAAAAAAAATTATGCTATGCCAAATAGTAGCAGTTCTAATAATCTGATTAGTAAAGGCATATGATATTTATAAATAATGGAAAAATGCTACATGAAGCATGACTTAACAAATGTTTTATTAAATCTTACTGAAGTTTATAATATTTCTGTTTTATTGGCTCACTGTTAAAGCTGAATGAGCAAGGTAGACCTTCCTCTAAATTTAAGCTGGTAAAAATTTACATTGCCATTTACTGTACAAGGGGCTGAAACAGATTTCTTTCTTTTTTTTTTTTTTAAGATTTGTTTATTTATTACTAACACAACACCCTGCCTCCATGTATGTCTACACATCAGAAGAGGGCACCAGATCTCATTACAGATGATTGTGAGCCACCATGTGGTTGCTGGGAATTGGACTCATGACCTCTGGAAGAGCAGTCAGTGCTCTTAACCTCTGAGCCATCTCTCCAGCCCGAAATAGATTTCTTGAGTCACCTTTTATGATATTTGAAGTATGGAGTTCTGGAAAATAGTAAATGTGAAATGTGAAACTTCTAGTCACAGAGATAACGAGCAAAGGGAAGGCGTGTGGAGGGCAGCTTTGTGGGAATGGACTTGCCTAGTATGTGAGAGGCCCCAAGTTTGATTTCCCCAGCAGAAAAAATAAAGTGTTGGATCTAAACGCCATGATGACCCCGCCCCCTGACAGCGGGCGGGGCAATGTCATCCATCGCTACTGTGGCTACTGTGCTGTGGCTACTATGCATAAGGACTCAGAATCCCGTGCAAACTTCCCCTCTTAAGTGAGCAACTCCACGTGGTCATCCCCTTCTCTTGTGTCTCTTCACCCTTCACTTTCTTCTTCTTCTTCTTCTTCTTCTTCTTCTTCTTCTTCTTCTTCTTCTTCTTCTTCTTCTTCTTCTTCTTCTTCTTCTTCTTCTTCTTCTTCCTCTTCTTCCTCTTTCTCTTCCTCTTTCTCTCTTTCTCCTTCTTCTCCTGTAAAGAGAAGCCTTCCCGCCAGCCTGGTTCCAGAGCCGCATCAGTCCCAAATAAACACACAGGAGGCTATATTAATTATGAAGCTGTTGGCCTTGCTTGTTTCTTACTGGATAGCTCTGACTTAAGTATTTACCCCATAATTGTTAATCTAAGTATTTTTCTTACCGGAGCAATTTCCGGGCTTCTTACCCCATGGCGGTTACATCTTGACTTCCTGTGTTTCTCCTTCCAAGAGTCCTCCTGGACTCCTAGTCCCACTTATCTTAGTTCCCTATTGGCCAACAGTGCTTTATTGACATATACACAGGACTTCCCCAACATTCTCCTTTTCCTTCTCCTTCTCCTTCTCCTGTCTCCTTCTCCTTCTCTGTCTCCATCTTCTCTCTCTCTCTCTCTCTCTCTCTCTCTCTCTCTCTCTCTCTCTCTCTCTCTCTCTCTGTGACTCCCACACACACCTACCCACCCCCCCACACACCTGTAATAATGTAATAAGCTCAATGGTTAATCTACTCTCTATGGCTTATGTTCCATTGCGCGTCTTAATCTCAAACAAAAGAACAACAATAAGCAAATAAATTATAAAATTCTATTAGTATTATAATCTTCTCCTTTTCCGATTTTCAAGGGAAATCCTGCCATGCTAACATATTCCTATACAGGTACATAGTGAAATAGGTCAGTGGATGCATATTAAACTAATAAAGTCATTATTCATGAGGGGATATGTGAATAAAGAGAAAATTGACAGTAATTTCTTTTAAGTATCAGGAGAAAATATTTTTTTGGTTCTTTTACTATTAGAAAAACTTAATGTGTTGTTTAGCCATCTAGCTCATTGGAAAATAATAGGAAATAGTAAACACTGTTTCTATTGTATTTGCAGAATACAGTTGCAGACTTTAATTAGACTGGCACATGCAGAATATTTTTAGATCTTATAAGTCTTGGGGAAAATGTGTCCCAAAGGCATTTACACATTGCATTTTTTCTACTACAATCAGTCTTTAAAGTACATGAAATCTATGTGAAATGGAAATTAGATACCTTTTATTCCAAGAGCCTATTATACCCATTAAGAGTTTAAATTAGGAAAAAGTACTGAGTACATTTTAAGATACAGATGAAATGTACTGAGACCATTACTAGAAAAATTGCAAGTGTATTTTAAGTCCAACTTGATAAATTACATTAAATACAGAAAAATCAGTGTTCAAATTATTACATATATAAAAGCATTAAGTGTTCATCCTTACAAGCTGTTTTAGCCACATAAAAGCCTCAGGTAGTTATTTAGTGCCAGAACCAAATTGATAATGAACTTCGTGAAAATAGTGTGTCCTAATAAGACCTTTACAAAGAAATCTGCTTGAATTTAGGAGTAGAGCTTGGTTCAAAAGACTTACCGACTTGGGAGAGGAAAGGGCTGGACTCTTGCTATTGAGTTGTGAATATGCTCTTCAGCTGTCACAGCTGGAACTGTCCATCTCTGGAGAATGTGAGGAATGTATGATTGGTGAGAGCTTCTACTTGAAACAGATTTTCCTTTCTTTAGGACCTTTAAGGAGTGGGACTGGCTGGAGAGAGGAGGAACCACGGCTTTCCTAGAAAGGACTTCAAGTGCTTCCTGTGAAAGAAAGGATCTGATACATGTTTCAAAACCTTAATAACCATCTTACAACCATACCTTTGTTTCAAAAGTGTTGTTATGGCTACCTTGTTATGACTACCTATTGCTACAACTACCTTGCAGTCTTTGTTTCGGGAGGTTGCTAAGAGCTTGCTATGCTTATGTTCTGCTTTTGTAACCCCTCCTATTTTGCCCACCAACCCCCCCCACTTGGAAACCCCCTACTGCTGAGCTATAAAAGCCTTGTCTTGTTCACATCCGATGTTGAACTCTAAAACCCCATCTTAGGAGAAGGCAGCTGGTGTACATGAATAAAAAAAGCTTGCTTTAATTAATTTGGCCCATGAAGATTTGAGTCTGTCATCTTTCTCCTTCCATCTTTGGGATTAACAGAAGGCCAGGCTGGCCTTGAACTTCTGACATTCCCCCTGATTTAGACTCTGAAGTGCTGGAACACACCTAACCAATAATTTAATTTAATTTCTTTTATTTCCAGGATCTGAGACATGAAAGAAGTTGTACTTTATTAGTAACAATGGCTTTAGTAATGATTCCTGGCAGTAATTTCCAATTAAGGTTATTTAGGATGCAGTTGTCTTCGCTAGGGTTTCTATTGCTGTGAAGAGACACCATGGCCATGGTAACCCCTGTAAATAAAAACATTTAATTGGGATGACCCACTTGCAGATTCAGAGGTTCAGTCCATTATCTTCATGGTGGGATGCAGGCAGCATGCAGGCAGATGTGACCCCGGAGTAATAGCTGAGACTCCTACATCTTTTCAGGCAACAGGAAATCTACTGAGACACTGGGAAACCTTAAATCCCACTCCCAGAGTGATGCATTCCTCTAACAAGGCCATGCCCACTCCAACAAAGCCACACCTCCTAATAACACCACGCCCTATGGGGCCAAATCCATTTAAACTACCACAGCCATATTTTCTCCCAGCTGCCAGAATCCTAATTGTCTTCCAGACTTACTCTAAAGGGTAACAAGCAAATAATCAGAATGTATGTGCGCTCACAATATCTGAAAACCTGTGAGAATGGATTTCTAGCTATGGCTTTGATAGCTGGTCAGTATAATGGAGTCTGAGCAGGTGAAGTCATGATGGCTCAGTATTGCTGGACTTAGTGTTTAAAGTTCTGGACCCAGGTGTGATGGCATAGGCCTATAATCCCAGTACTGGTGAGGCAAATTATGTAGCCCATAAAGAGAGTCTATCCTAAAGAAACAAAACAAAACAACAACAACAACAACAAAATTTCCTTTCTAACATTTACCCGAGTCTTTGTGCATCCCTTTGTAGAGTGTAGTCTTCCTTGCCAGCCACCTAGGCCCTGCCACAGCTGCAGTCCCCAAATAACTCACAGGACACTATATTAATTATGAAGCTGTTGGCTGTTTCCTACTGGCTATCTCTGACTTAAGTATTTAACCCATAATTGTTAATCTAAGTATTTCTCTTACCGGAGAAAGGGTCCGGACCTCTTACTCCTCTGGCGGCTACATGATGTCTCTCCATGTTTCTCTTTCCCAGAATCCTCCTCGACTCCTAATCCCACCTATCTTGCTTCCCTATTGGCCAACAGTGCTTTATTCAAACCTATCAGACACATTTTTACAGAATGACATCTCCCAACATCCCTTGGCTTTTTTTTTTTTGTGCTTTTTCTCATGGCATTTTTAGGCTGCTTTTCTTTAGCTGTAAAGTCTGATGTCAATCAAATTTAACTTTCTGATGTGTAATTTCTAGGTCTGTTTGGGGTTCAGACTTATTATAATATGTCTTAAAAGTCATGCCTTTGCTTCCTTAAAAATGCCAAAGTTGGGACTATGACGATGTATACCTGTAGCCTAAGCGCTTAAAAAGCAGGGGGATTGAAAGCTCAAAGCCAGTCTGTGTAACTTAAGGATACACTGTAAACAAGTCAATACATTTGCAGGCAAACAATTAGCCACCTCAACAAAATGTAACTTGAAGATTTACTCTTTCCTCTCTTGCAAGTTGTTCCTAAGAGGATATCTCTAATCAGGAGGATTAAAAATGATGTGATGCATTTTAAATTAAATGGAAGAAAAATGTTGCCTTTCTTGTTACAGCTTTCATTGCTATTCTTTGTTCTAAAAGTAACAGGTAAAGTGACAGGATATTTGGAGTTTTGCAATCATCCATCTTTTGGCCTCTGATTTAACAGGTATAAAGCATCTTAGAGATGTATAAATCTGTACTGCTTTCATGAATTTTTTTAAAAAATTGCTGTGATTCTATCATCACTGTATGAATTCTTAACTGATTCATAGCAGAGTTCTGGGTGATTTTCCTTTATTGAAAGTAGATTTTTTTTCATACAATGTATTCTGATTAAGGTTTCCCTTTCCTCTACTCCTCCTAGTTCTTCTCTTCTCCTGTCCTATCAGGATCCACACCCTTTCTGTTTCTCATTAGAAACAAACAGGCATCTAAGGGATAATAATAAGATACAATGAAAACAAGATAAAACAAAAGCAAACATATTGGAATAGGACAAAACAAACAGAAAGAAAAGAGTCCAAGAAAAGATACAACAAACACATATAGACTCATAGACACACTCTTTGCACATTCAGGAATCCTATAAAAGCAGAAAACTGAAAGCCATAATACATATGCAAAGGACCTATAGGGTAAAAATTAGTGAATGAATAAATAAAAAAGGAAAAGGTCCTGACATGATGTTATGAGGCAAGGAACTTCCAAAGATGCCCTTGAATTCATTTTCTACTGGCCATTTATAGCTGGGCTTAGGGCCTGTTCTTAAGAGTAGTTTGTTTTCCCGGAAGGACTCCCTTGAAGAAAACTAAATTTTCATTTGCAAGTGGTTATCAATTGAAGATAGCTTTTTGGTTAGGAATGGGGCATATGTCTGTTGTGGAATATTAACTATGTAAAGATGTGTTACATTTCTTTAAGCTTTGGAATATTGGTATTTGTGTTTCTCCTTTGGTAGGGTGTAGAGTACCTTCCAGGAGACAATAAGATAAGCCAGTGAGGGTGAAGGCACTTGGTAGGCAATAATTCAGCTTCTCTGTGTTCAGTGAGTTGTAGAGGTCTTATTTTCAACAACAGGGCCTTGATGCCAGTTTTTTACTATAGCCTTAGTAACAGCCTGGTTTGTTTGAGGGTTCTCATGGGACCCCTTTGGTCAACAACTCTTTTTTTTTTTTTTTTTTTTTTTTTTTTGGTTTTTCGAGACAGGGTTTCTCTGTGGCTTTGGAGGCTGTCCTGGAACTCACTCTGTAGACCAGGCTGGCCTCGAACTCACAGAGATCCACCTGCCTCTGCCTCCCGAGTGCTGGGATTAAAGGCGTGCGCCACCAACGCCCGGCCAACAACTCAATTAGTTGTAACACATTCTTGGTACTGAAGCTTCATTTGATGTTTTCTTAGAGTCTGTAGAGCACCTGTCCAGGCCCTTCTGGCTTTTAGAGTCTTCATTGAAAAGTCATATTCTGGTAGGTCTTCCTTTAAATATTATTTGGTCCCTTTCCCTTACAGCTATTAATATTCTTTCTTGTTCTCTGTGTTTGGTGTTTTACTTATTATGTGTCATAGGGAATTTCTTTTCTGGTCTATCCTATTATGTGTTCTGTATGCTTCTTGTACCTTGATAGGCACTACCTTCTTTACATTGGGAAATTTTTCTTCTATGATTTTGCTGAAAATATTTCTGAGCCTTTGACCCGGGTTTTTTCTCCTTCCTCTATTCCTAATATTCTTAAGTTGGGTCTTTTCATAGTGTCCAGGTTTCCTAGATACTTTGCGCCTGGATGTCTTTAGATTTAACATTTTCTTTGACTGAGGTATCCGTTTCTTCTATCTCGTTTTCAGTGTCTGAGACTCTCTCTCCCATCTCTAGTATTCTGTTGGTGAGGCTTGCCTCTGAGGTGCAAGCTTGAGGTTCCTAAATTCTCCATTTCTAAGTTTCTCTCAGGGTTTGGGTTTTCTCAATTGATTCTATTACCGCTTTCAGACCTCGACCTGTTTTCTTTATTACCTTTCACCTGTGCGTTTGTGTTTTCATAGCTTTCTTTTAGGGATTTATTCATTTCCTCTTTAGGGACCTCTATCATATTCATAAGGCCTATTTTAAGGTCTCTGTCTTGTGTGTCAGCTATGTTGCATTTCTCAGGGTCTACTGTAGTAGGGTTGCTGGGCTCTAGCCAGGGCATGTTTTTTTTTACTGATTGATATTTAAACTGTTGTCTAGGCACCTGGGTTTGTTAAGATTGTAATTCTAGGTGCCGATATATGGCCTTGTCCTTGTTGGGTGGGGGGTGCTTTGTTCCCTGGTTTCTGTTGCCCTTTGTGATTCTTAGTGGGAGTATGGTGGCTGTGTGTACTGGTAGGGAATGCTTCTGGGATCCTGCTAGTTGTGGCCACTGGGTGTTCCCTGTAAAATGCATCTCTAGATATTGGGAACTGATACTTAGGAATGTGGGTAGGCTAGGAGGATTGGGCTGAGGGGGCCCACAGGAGGGAGGGAAGTTGTGTTCCACCAGGATCTGTTTAGTTCCCTGGGAATGGGGGTGGGGCAGAGAGTGAGCGAGGGGAGCCAGAGCAGTTGGTCTGCTACAGAGTTGGCATGAGACCGTGGCACTAGACTTGGAGAGGATGGGGGAAGGGTGAAGCCTGCTCACCTACCTGTTTTGCTGCCCTACTTGCTTCTCCGACAGGCGATAGTCAGTAGGCTAGGTTGGTGGGTTCTCAGGGAGTGCCTGCTAGAGTTGGAGGCTTGGACAGTGGGCTAAGTGGGAAGGAAGGTTGGAGCACGTCAGCATGATCCATTAGTGATGGGAGCGGAGAGAAATGGAAGGTCAAAGCTGGTGGTCTTCTTCATGACTGGAGGTGAGACTGGGGATTGGATCTGGAAGAGAAGAGGGGGAGAGGTGAAGGTCTGCAGTTATCCTACTTGTGAAGCATAATAAGGTGTAGGAAAGACATTGCTTTGTTGACTTACTTAGCGGTTTACTGAAAGCATTAGTTGTATTGCCCATTTGCTAGTCATGACTTCACTTGGCTGCCTGGAACAGAGTGACCAGGAGAAATAGTTGAGACAATGGGCCATTGCCCTGAACAACTGTCACGTTAGGCCACGTAGGCTTCTGTAAACTCTGGCTTGCTTGCCTGACTTACCTTGTGGTTTTAAGAATATGAAATGAGAAAGCATTGAAGCCTTTCTGGGGAGATTCTGGCTTAGGTCCACTGATGACATCACTTCTCTTCTACTCTCATTGGTGTAAGAATATTTATTCCAGAAGGATTTTGGAAACATCTGCTTTCCTGGCCTCT